AGTTTTATATATGGAATGAAAAGTTAGGTTTCCTTATACGTATGAAATTGGAAAATTAGTTTTTACTGAGATGAATTAATTCAATTATTTTCAGCAACATAAGAAATCGTCTGACAGGGCGGAGCAGCGACGACCTAGATAGATCGCAGAGCATGAAGGAGGTTGGAGCTTGGCCTTGAACAAGTGGTTGAATCCCAAATCGAAATAGAGAGGGATAGCGGCAACAATCCTATACATATGATGTGCAGTAATTGAGTTTATTGCTTCTTTCCCTCTTTATTACAAGATTTACACAAATATATTTTATGTTAATTTTTACATTATGTAAGGTTAAATGCATGTCATCTCCATCAAAATGATTTAACTTATATATTTACCCACCTTTTTTGTGATTTTTTATTTAATTTTTTTCAAATTGTTCTTAAATGTCTAATGCATATTTTCCTATTGATTTTTTATTACTCTGTAAGTATTAGATAAGTTAAATCATGTTTTTATTGGTTTAGTACATGTATTTTCTTTGCTCCATTAAATATTCTAATATTTACATCTTTTGTTTTTATTTATGCATATGTTAGTGTGTATGGTGCATATTGTATGTAGGAGTATTGCCTTTTCCAAGGTAATGCATTCTTATTCACAGTGTTTCCAAGAAAAAAAATTGAGGCCGTATTTTTGCTATTGTGAATTTTTATAATGCTTTAGAACCTTGAATTTTTGGCCTATATAGAAAGGAATTAGGCCAACTGCATTTTTATGTATTTTTTTAAGTTTTTGTCAACTAAGGGTTTGTGTTATTAGGCATTATCAGGACACATGTAATGCATTTGCATGATAAGAAAATGCATTATAAGAAACAAGGTAAGGATAATGCATTCTTAGAATCAAAGTGAAGTTCATTTATGAGATGGTGAAATTCTCCTAACATAAATATGATGCATCTATTTATTCTAGATAGTGAAATATATCCAAACAGTGATAAATTTAAAATGTTCTGTAATTATTTCAAAAGTCACTCTTTGCATGTATAGATGCAAATAGTATGCTGCAAAGCTTATAGATGGTGTATTGTTTCGAACAATGGGTTTGTTAATGAAAGTAGTGTATTTACGTCCAAAAAAAATGTTAGTAATAAATTTCAATATGAGTTAAAATTTGTTGAATGATGCTATTTTTTAAAGCTTAAAATGCATACTTCATAGGTCCAAGTGCAGGACGAAAATTTCCTTGAAAAAAATGGTTGCCTATTAGCTCAAATGCTAGAGCGGTATATACTACAGATGTGGGTTCAAATCCCTCATGGGCAAATTATTTCTCATATTTTTCGTTGAACTTTTTCAGAATGCAATGCATTCTCAGAATTTTTCATTACATCCAAAGTCACTCAGGGCTTATTATTAACAAATTCAAACTAATAGGATTAAATTAGAATAAAATTTAAAGGACAAATTACAATGCATAAATTGGTCTTCATAGTGCATCCGCTTTAGATCTGTCAGTGTGGATATCACAGTGCATCTTCCCAAACAATCCCTGAAAAGTGGGACATTAAAAATCCTTTCTTAAATTAATTAATTATAATTTTAACTAAACAAATTTTTAGAAATCATCCTAAATAGGACTAAAACATAGAGAAAAATACCAAAATAAGACTTTCATGTTTTTTTCCCGGAATAGGACTTTGCATTGTGGTAATGTGACTTTGCATTGTGGTAATGTGGCAGTGTACATGTGCAAATTACTATATATACTTTCTTGGTAATGTATATGACAATGTTTGGTAATGTAAATCCTATTTCGGGAATAAAAACATGGAAGTCCTATTTTGGTATATCTTCAATGTTTTAGTTTTACTTTGATCTTTCTCCCTTCAATTTTACTCTTTTTGAATTAGACAGTGAGATAATTAATTCCTGACGGAGGGGGTAGATTACCCAAAACACCATTAAAATAAATACCTCGAGTTCAAATTGTAAATAAATCTAAAAAATATAAATGTTTTCGGAATAAATATTATCATTCATAGTGAAAAATGTAAAGAATTTTTTTTTGCACTATGTGAAATGTATTAAAATAAAACAAACGAGAGACATAATAAAACAAGAATGCATTACAAAAAATTATTTATTATTGATGAAAACCATTACTTAATACTCCCTCGTCCCGGAGTATTCGTCCAGTTTTGACTTTTAGAACTGTTCATCTAAACACTTTGATTCATCAAATTCTCTCAATGTGTAAGCCTAAATATAGTCATGTGTGATCTTGTTTGATTTGTCTTAACATATAGATTATTAATATATAGTTTCTATAATTTTTTAATATACAAATTACAAGATAAAATTGATTAAATAAGTGTATTGGATGGTGTGTAAAAATGAAAGTGGACAAATACTCTGGGACAAAAGTAGTATGATAATATCAATCAATAATGAAAAATTATTCCACTTTTTAAGGAACTAATAAGGGAAAACAGCTCATCTTAAGGAGTATCAAATATTGATTATGTCCATTAATAATCAATGCACGATTGCATTAAAAAAATCAATCCACGATTTAATTGCATTGGTATCAACTTGACTATACTGCCCCTACGGCCTACACACCTAATTCCTTCCTAATTTGATGGGATTGATTTATTACTTACCGTATCCATTGGAAAATGGAGCCATCCTTTAGATGTAATTTAGGCCTTTAGATTAACCATATCAACGAATATAATTCATTCTCATTTCTTTCACTGAGAGTCTTTCTCACTTGAACCAGCCCATATATATATATATATATATATATATATATATGGTATAGAATTAAAAAAATTACATATTTAAAAACTAGATCAATAGATCTATAAAACTAGTGGTGACATAACTATATTATTTTATCAAATGACTAACGAAAATAAAAAAAAGTAAACAATGTTTGACTCTGTGAATAATAAATAGACAAATTGGGACGGAGAGGGTAACATTCAATATATATTCTAAAAAAAACTCTTTAAATATAATCATATTTATTTAATTTTCTTAATAATGATATAAGGCGTAATATGTACGGAGTATTATGTAAATTTGTTTTAAGCATCACATAAATGGCATATCTTTTGTCGCAAAAAAAATTAAATTAAATAATGATGTACATGAATTAAAATTTTAATAAACCTTTGTTTTTGAAAAGTAGTACTCCCACCGTCCCATTTTATAACGCCTTTTTCGGTTTACAATGTTTGACTGAAATTATTTTCAAATCATTTTATATGACAAATGATATAGAATTAAAAAATAAAAATTACCAATTAAAATACTACATCAAAAGATCAACAAAACTAGTAGTGACAATAATACTTTATTTTATCAAATTGCTAACGAAAATAGATAAAGAAAGTGAATAAAGTTTGACCATGTGAATAGTGAACAAGCATTGTAATTTGGAACGGAGGGAGTATAAAGGAAAATGATGAATAATATAAATAAATCATACGGAGGATAAAAAAATTCTTTTTAAAATATCGATGAAATTTGAAAAGTACAGGCCGAGTATAAAGTAGAACACAAAATCCGAAATGAAAAAGATAAAACACGCAAAAGCATATCATTGATATACTGATGTAGTAGATTTTTATTAAAGAACAAAGATGAAAGTAGAGAATTACGACCCAACAGAGTAAAACGTATTGCAAAGCAAAACACAAAAAAAAATTAAAAAAGAAGAAGAAGAAGAAGAAGAAGAAGAA